CATAGAGTGAGGGTGGGGGGAAAGGCTAGCACAGCTTTAGATTTATTTGAGCTCACTGCAACCCTGTGAGCAGATCTAAGTTTAACACAGGGCCAGAGGATGCAAAGCCCAAGTCAAGAACAATAATTCACTTCATGTCAAAGCCCAGTGAAAAGATCTCTTTTGACAGCTCCTGTTTCATGCTCCCAGTGAGCTTACTGGCTTCCTGCACAGGCGCACGGGCCTGACCTCTCCCATTCACCCACAAGTTGGCTGCATATAAAATGGCCATTAATTCCAGCTGGCACATGGGTTTGGCTGAGGCCCTTCCTTCCTGTCAGCAAGAGGGAAAAAGAGCTGAGGGGCTGTGTGGAGGGATGAGACAGAAACAAGCGGCAATCCGCAGGCTCCTATTGCGAGCCCTCTGGTTTGCACCTCTTAGCTGATCATCTACAGTCACACCGACATTTAGGCAAAAATACTTCGAGCTGATGGAGATCAGGAAGAGGAAGCATATTCTCCAGGAAGCACAGACCACACATAGTAGGAGCCCACTCTTGATCTGATAAGAATTTAAGAAATAAAGCATTCTAACAGCTGTGCTGGTGAGTATTAGAAATACTATTTTCTTTTTAATAGTCTTAGTTTACAAGAATATGCCGATCAGTTATTTTACTCAAAACTAAGTGTGAAGACAAGTATCTTCCCTGAAAAAGCTAGGTAGCCGCACTTCTCTCCACATACAGACTGCAGGGCTTCAGTGTAGTTAAAACATTTACAGGACACTAACCTAAAACTGCTTTTGAAAAGGAAATACACAACATAACCTCGCAAGGTTATAGCTGAGCATTGACAAAACCTTAGCATCCACTGGACTGGCTGGTTTGCTTGTAGTTCAACAAGATGGATTTGAAGGGAGAACTGGCACTGATCTGCATGTAGGACTTCTACTTGAAAACAGAGACAGATGTCAGTAGAAACTGCTACAAAAAAAGAAACATTTTCAGCAAAGATTTGCTATATAGTCTACAACAATTTTCTACATGAAAACAGGTAACCAGACCATAACACAATGTGGCAGTGGCTGTGCTGGCCTGAAGTGCTGCATTAGACTTTGCTTCCTTACTGAACAAAAGGTTCAAACTCTAAGGACCAAATGAATAAGCAGTGAAAGCAGAATGTGGGGAAGTTAACCATAAGAATTCTCTCTTCTCAGTTGTCTGATAGCTGGCAAATGGAAATTTGTTTGTGCGATGCAGAGGAGGCAGCAACCTTTAAAGCAGTCCAACTTCAAATGCTGAGGATGTACAGGATACACAAAGCCACCCGAGTTTGGTTCTGTGGGGTTTGCGTGTCATGTGTTGTTGGGTTTTGTGTTTGTTTTGGGGTTTTGGGAGTTTTTTCTTAAAAGCACATCCCAGATCACCAATTTGAGTTACAGTACAGTTCTACACCACCAAGGTAGGAATCACATATGCCTTCTCCAAAGCCAACATGAAGGTGATAATTTTTGTGGGAGAAGTTGTAATCTACCCAGATACACAGCACTTACCCTTGTGGGGCAGTTCTGTCATGGAATTTATTTTAAGAGCTAAGAAAACACCTTTATTAAAAGTTGAGCATTCATTCTGAATATCCAAGTGGTAGACCCATGCAGTGTAATCTGACAATTAGAAACTTCAGTTTATGCATTCTCAGACCCAAAAAAATGGATTAAGTTTGACATTATTGCCATTCTATACACTGCCATCCTCTCTGCCTTTCAACAAGGCTGGAGAATATGTAAGCTGAAGTCACTTTGTATAACTGTAAAAAGTTTATCTATTGCCATACAAAACTTTCAATTTCCTTAGCCTCAATAGCCAGAATTAGTGTCACAGCTGTTGGGGAACCAGTTCAACCCAAGAATGGCTGGAGCTCAAACCCACCTTTAAATTAGATGATCAGAAATTAGATGTGAGAATTAAAAGAAGCCTTTAAGACAAAGGAAACACCTTTCAGAAATGATAGATGAAAAAAGCAATTTGAAGGAGACAAACTTTTCCAGCAGACAAAACAGACCAAGAGGAAATGCAGGTGTTCAGCAGTCGGTATCAGGAGACAGAAGAGTGGCAATGAAAGGAATTCAAGTGGGAAAGATTGCATTTGAAAGCACAGAAGAATATCAAAACATTATTTAACAGCAGGCAGGAAAATAGTAACAGGACTCAGGAAAGGGGATTTAGGTATTGTGCTGGATGGTTGCAAATGTATTGAGCACAAAGTACACTCAGGAACATGTAAGTTTCTGTAACTAGTTTTCAAGTGATTCCAGTGGTGTTTGTCTCTGCCATGCCTCCCAAATTCCAACAACTCTATCATACCACAGTCTCTTATTAAGTTTCACAAAAATCTTAGTAAGTGTTAGGGAAGAAATAAGAAAAAAACCAAATCAGATGACAGAGCAGAGTATCAAAGTAAAGTAACACTGCTCCTCCATTTCAATATGTTTTGTGGCAAAGATATCCATCTCTAAAATCTGAATCTAGGCTGACTAGTTACAATAGATAGGGAACTATCTGTTGTTAAGTTTCTATACACTGAAGTTATTCTAAAAAACTAAGGGATAACTCAAGATCAAATTTAGGCACATGAGTCAATTTTAGTAAAATATAAAATCCAAAACAGATAGTCCAGGTGTAAGAAACTCAAGAGAAAGGCAGATCTATCTTTCACTGTGAAGATTAATTAGAAATCAAATCCATCCAAACTGCCATAATTACTTAAAGCTATGATTGAACAAAGGGCAAGAAAACCCCATATTCCAAACAGATTGTATTCAAAATTTATTTTTAAATAAAAGAAAAAACAAGACAATTATTTTAAATAAACACGGTATATTCTACACATCCGTAGATCAACACAACTTTACATAAGCAATTTTCAACTTTTAGAAGTTCTGTTGCATCTTCTAAAACATTTGACAATGTTGGTTTCCGTTTCATAATCAACCGAACAATATCCAAATGAAACTACTTGCTTAAGTGAAGCTCTATTTTTCATGACCAAGGATGGCTCTACTAATACAAAAGCACCTGTTAAACAATTATCCCCACCTAGTTTTTTAAAAATGAAGTATTTTCAGCCTTTTTTTGGTTCTGTTCCATTGCCTGCATAGAAATCAGCATAAAGCTAAGTTGCAAGCTAAGCTTCACTTTAGCAGTGCAATGAATGGCATCAAACTCCATGAAACAAATGAAGATACAAACATTGTCAGCAAAATTCAACTATGTAAAAAAACAATATTAAAACCAGAATGTTTTTGTGGGTCACAACTAGACTAGCTTTCAGTGTGCAACTTTCCTCAGGAAAAGTGCTTCTTCCTGATTCACATGAAAAGAATGAAGCATGCATCAAAAGCCTTTGTTCATACAGAAATGCCCATTAAAAGAGTTCCATGGTATAAGGCAAAAGAGATATTAAGGTGGATGAAGCATTTTGGCCCAGAGTATGTTTTACAACACATACATACACGTTACACTTGTGTAGCATATGACAGGTAAGGGATTGGCTCAGTAAGGTAAAAATGTCAATTTTTATAAATACATGTCATTATTGCTAATATGCTACACGTTATCATCCAACTTTTAAAGCCACTTTATTGGCATTAGCCTTGTAATTAGCAGCTCACATTCATGGTGATGATATGCTATTCCATATGAAGAAAAGCAAAGCAGCATAAATACAATTATGAAAAACAAAAGGCTTATGCAACATCCCTCTCTAGTTTTGCTGTGTTGTTTTTTAATTAAAAAGTGTTCAAAGAAAACAAGTCCAGTTCACCACAAATTAGGAAGTCTCACAATGAGGTTGGAACCAAGCTACAGGGAGCAGAGGGGAAAAAAACACAGCATGCATTATCATCTAGTTCTTTTAGTCATACCACTGGAATACAAAAGTCCAATTTAAAGGCTAGACTAATAGTAGAAGGCAAAAAGCCAAGAGTAGACTTAGTTTGATATTTAAATTAAGATTAAAATTTTAATCAGTAACAGCAAACTCACTCGGCCCTTTAATATATTCACGATATCTACTGCAATTGAATACTTAATTATGACTAATATAGGTATGTATGTTCACTTTAAAAAGATATTAGATACCTGCATCATGAAATTACATTCTTAAGACATTGTGTAAGAAAATAGCTCATGTGTGAAATGTTTCTGAAATGTATTTCTGCTCCCTTCTACGTCTCACACACACCCACCCACACACACCTCCCCCCCCCCCAAAGCATTCACTCACAGGGAAAAACACAAACACCCCTTAAAAAAAGATGGAAATATTGAAGGGGACCAGCTTGGCTAGTTACAGCACAGTGCTTAACAAGGTTCAAGACAGAACCAGATCAGAGTTGGCCAAAAGATGCCCAAAATACATGCCTGACCAGTAATTCCTTCCAACTTGTTCTATCAAACTCAGTCCACTTTTGGTTCATTGCAATGACTAAAGTATTTCATATATACACATATAAAACAAGACTCCAGCTTTACTTTAGTTTGTTTTTGCAAAGCATTTTTACCTTTCCATTCATTTTGTTCTGCAGCAACTACAAGAGGTAGGCATAAAGCATTTAAGAGCTTCTTTCCCAGGGTCCTATTACTAGCTCAATTTAGTGGGATAAAACAGAAATCGGCTGTACTTCTGTGATTTTACTAGGTATAACCTTGTACAATCCAGCTGGAAAATAGCTATGTGAACCCTGGATTTCTAGGCTAGCACACCATGGAGTAAGAAGCTGTTCATGTCCAGGAGGATTTTTTTTTTTTTTGCAGAGTTTACTGCAGAGCATTCCCATAGAAAGTTGATGTCAGGACCAATTCTCTCCATTTCTATTTGTACACAGGAGCAAGGTACCATTTGGCCAAGACTACAGATGTATTTTCACAGATGCAAGTGCCATGCAAAAATAAATTAAAGAACAGATACCAAAACATACAAGTAGTAAAACTACTGAAGGTAGATTTTCTTAGAAGTGTTTATATAAACAATTTATAATACTTTTCTTCCCCCATTCTCTTTTTGACATTCACAGTTAAAGCTGTGGCTATACATCAAGAATTTCTTCTGCAGTGCCTCCACAACGTAATCTGTAGCGTCCTGTCCTCCAGCTAATAGTGGGGTCCCACAAAGCAGATAAGAAAATATAAATTGTCATGGATTCTCTGATGAACCAAGCTACTGCATAATCAAGCTTTGAAAAACACAGAGCTCCACCCTAGGAATAGAAAAAAACCCAAATATTTAAACATCCTGAATATTCAAAAGGAATTTTAAAGTAAGGTAAAACATTTGTGTTACAGATAAATCTATTCTAAAGCTTTATACAGATTTAGATATCAATAGCATATTTTTAATAAGCCAAGAACAATTTCCTGTTCAAGATATGATTACCCATATTAAACATGAGGAACTTGGCAGAATGACCCAGAAGGCTTGAAGGCAGACTTGCATGTAGAGCAAAAGGCAAAGTGTGACAATTTCACTTTTTTCTTTTTGAAGCTTTGTAAAACTGTGTTGAAGACGACACTTCATTTTTGTCACAGACCCCAAAAGAACAGCATCTAGACAGAACACTCCTGCACATTCCCAGAGGAGTGAAATTCAAAGCAGCAAGCCATTGGTCTATTGCATAGGAAAAGTGGGACTAAAAAAAGCTTATAGCCTCTCTGTATTTTCTGATCCTTTGAGAATTTCCAGGTACAAGCAGAGCTGGAAATCAAAGAGGCTTCAGAAAAGGAAACGTAGGCACAAAGCTCTTTTACATGCTGCACATGGTAAGAAGAGTAATCAGAAACGCAACTGCTAAACTGACCTTCTAGAGTCCTACAGAACCCACACAAGGCCTAATTTTGTTTTTTTATTTCCAGTATGTGTTAAGACTACCAAAAAAGTATTTTTCAGTATAAGGAGAATTGATTGATAAGTTTGAAGACACAAATAATTATGGATCACGTTTGGATGGAATATGGTCACAGCACAAAGTAGTCTAAAGCATTAGAAGAACAAATGCTGTTCTGATTTGTGACATCTTTCTATATTAAAAGTTTTTTTGAGGCCTCACTTGTAGTGATGGGAAGATTTTATTTTTAGAAGCAGGATGCAGATGTCCTGTAAGTCCATTATTACCGAAACAGTGACAAGAGTACATCTGCACCTCAATAAATACAAGATAAAGTGACAGCTAAGATAAAAGAAAAAAACAAAATCCCACAAAGCTGCTGTTTTTGTACGGGTAAAAAGAACCTTAAATTTTCTGGATATGCCTACATAAAGCAGACTGGAAATATGAAGATTAAGGGGACAGATATGCAAACTCTCAGAGCATAGGCAGAGGCAGGTGCATACAGAAAACAAAATATCCAAGCACACTTACTCCTTTTTGTGCTACCATAATTGAAGCTGGAAGACTAAGAAACAACAGTATTTGACCTGTTATTTCCTTGATGTCAAGAGAATTATTTTGTTTTAATTAGGCTTAGTGTTTTGCTGAAGTAGATGGCATCAGTAACTGTAATAACCTCCAAAAGAACATGAAGCTACATACCTGAACGCCCTTCAGTTGAATGTAGTCAAATATAAACCATGCCAAGCAGTGACACATGAAAAATACCATTATATCCCATCTAAACACATGATGAGCTGCCCATCCAATAACTAGACTGGCAACAAAGCACTCTGAGATTGGCTCACAAATTATTGTGGCAGGCAACATATTAATTCGCAGTTTGGCCCACCTACAAAAGACAAACAAATCAGTTCTGACTACACATTATTCTTTGTCCTCCTCCCCCAACTCATCAAATGATGAGCCATCATGGTCTTTTCTGACAGTGTTAGTTTAATCTCAATTTACACCTCCAAATAAAATACTGCAAAAAATCTCCCTTTCAAAGATACTGCACATAGCATTTAAAAGGTGCTAAGGGTTGTTCTTAGCTTTTTTAATACTTATTAGTCGTACTTCTGTGGAAAGTCAGTGCCTCCCTCCCAACACTAACAAGAAGCATGCATTAAGCTGTGCATTGGAACATCAGCATTCTGGACATTTGATCACATTAGATTGGAAAATGTATTCCTGCTCATTATGAGGTTATCCACATTAGAAGCAGGTGAGAGAGTTGTGTGGGAAAGGAAGTAAAGACTAAAATTTTACCTGATCATTCTCGACTGAAACTGAGAAATAGAATAGGAACCAGAGTTTTGCATTGCAACTTGTGTGGCCATTGCAAATTTCCAGCCCCTGAAAGTGAATTAATATAAAAAACATGCAAATAAGAGATGCAAAAAACAATTAGAGAACAATCACCCACGAATTTTGTTAGGCTGAAAAAGTTTCTTTGGCATATGTGCCATATTATTACAATAGGTATAAGCAAAAAAATTAAGTGTATTTTATCAAGTCTCTTCATTGGAAGAGAGCAAATACCACTTCAATAATACTTAAACCAAGTTCTGAAACTTTTTTCCAAATGAATTGACAGTTATATGGCTTAATTAGTTCCAAAACACTATACTGATGGGACAAAGCACATGTTGTAAGCATGTTTGCCGTATACATGTAAAGCTGACCTAAACACCTATACTTACAGTATGTACCATCCGTTTAAGAAAAGATTTAAACAGCACTTAAAGCAATAATCTTACTTCAGAGTCATCTTACCGGTCAGCTATAGCTTTGGCCATAAAGTAATCTTCAGCAATATATTGTGCAAAAGCTATCAGTCCTCCAGCTTGGTCCAAGACATCCTTCCTCATCAAGCATGACATTCCTGTTACACACTTAAAGCCAGTTAGGTTGGCTGAAATATATGACCTTGGATGTGAAGTTCCAAAATAAACCTGCCAAAACAAGATAAGGCTTTTAAAACTCTGTATGCATTTATGCAACTACTACTCACTGACAACTTTTTCTCCAAAAATGTTTGGAGGGAAAACAGTGCTAGATGTGTCCAGTTATGACTGTGTATTTGGAAAGATCTTCACCACCAATCTAAGAAATCTAGTCTACCACCAAATCTGAGAAATCAAGTAGTGATATCAGCTGTGTTTTTATAAATCTATAAGCAGGTTTTAAAGCCCCATATTAAACTAATGTATTTCACTTTGTATTTAATCTCTAATTTATTGAGGTTATTCTCAGGGAATACAGATATTAAAAATCCACTAATTTACTAATCACTAGGATCAATATCTTATTTGGTGATAGCTAACTCTTCTTCCTGTTGTAAAGCTTAATTGCACTACATCATACATGTTCTTAGAAACTTACTATATGGTTGTACAGAAGCAGGGGAATTGTTTAGTTAATATACTTGTAGACAATGAAACAATTCACATTGTGAACTAGTCTCCTTACAAGATTCAGTAACTTAAAACTAGGAGTGTCTGGTAAAGAGACAGTGGGAATGAATGCTAGCGCCTCTTACTACTATTCTTTGTATAGATAGCCTTCACACTGGTCTTACTAATACAGTTAACTCATGCAAGACGAGACATGCTCATCTCACAGTATACTGGATCTGGAAGCAAAAAGGTCTTCCAGGAATACAGCAGCAGATGTTGTAATTCTTGCCACTTCAGCACATAGCAGTACTAAGAGCTTTGTGCTATAGCTCCTTGCTCTAAGAGAAAATTGAGACTTTGTGTCTCAAAAATGACATGAGCGGCCCTCTCTCCATGCAATGAAAAAGTACTGAATTTCACTTCACTTTCATCTCTCACATTTTCTGCCTTTGACAGACATCAGTTAGCCTTGGGGCCAAAATGCCTTATACATGCCAGCTTAGAATAAAAGATAGCAGATTAAATTACAAGCCTTGAGACACAAGGAACAAAGAAGAAAGCTCAACCTCTTCATTCTACAAAAGAGAACTTACTGAGAAAGAAAGGGGATAATAGGACAGAATGAATGATAGGAAGACAGTGGATAGGAATCAACTGTTCACTTTCTCCTCCAAAACAAGTATTAGGAGACTACAGAAGAACAAGGGCCAGAGTGAACAAAGTGCTGGTTCCTGTAACAGATAGTAGATCTATGGAACTTCCTGGTAAAGAGAGTTGTAGATGTTCAAAAATCTATATGGACTCAAAGAAAGAATGGAAAAGTTCATGTAAAAAAAAGTCTGTTCTTACTAAAATACTAATATATTAAAGATTAGTAAATATATGTCTACTTCATGCTCAGGAAGTCTCTCAGTTGAACATTGCAGAGAGTTGAGACAGTATTACAGAAAACCAGGATATAAGCCTTGCTTATGTTTTACTCTTCTCAAAGGCTCTACCTATAACCCCTGCTAGAAATAAGATACTGTGTGAGCTGGACTTTGCTCTGACTTATCATGGACATTTCCGTGTTCCTTTTCAGGCATCAAAACAGAATTAATGGTTCTAAGCACTAGAAAAGAGTTCTTCAGTTTTAATAAATTTTTAAAATCCATGATTTTCATCCTGTAATCTTTATTGTTTGTATTGTAAACTTAAATATTGAATCAATGCTCAGAGCACCACAGTAGAATTTTGGAGCATTATCCTACATAGTTTGAAGTGTGACTGCAGCTGAAAATAAACATTTCTTCCCTCAAAAGGTGCAAGAGACACTATACAACTTCTAGTCAGCAAGGTCTTGCAAAAAAACCAAACACCAAAAACAAACGCAAACAAACCCAAGAAACCCCACTGCACTCACCTGTTCAAGGGTAGCAGCAAAACCCTGTCTGTCTGCAACATAGGGAAGCCCGTGGACCAAGCCTACTTTTTCAGTCATTTGATTGGCCATATCTGTCAGTGTGTCTGGAGTTACTAAGTGGCAAATAGAAAGACAGTTCATTGACCAATTCTGTCATTGACAGACTACTGTATAAAGACACTGATTCTCATTCTATTACCAGTATCAAGAGCACATATACTTTGATGCACAGTATTTTGGAGGAACAATGATCCAGAAAAATAATAATAGTTATTAACATTATTATGACCAATGACAAGTACAATGGAAACAGCTTGAAGAGTATTTTTTTAAATGGGATTTTTTAACTTTACTTAAAGATTAAACATTTTTATACCATGAAAATATTTTTTCCAAGATTTTGAATTTCCATTTCTACTTGTATTCTCAGTCAAAATAATCCCCAACTGCTTGCCTACAGGGAATAAGAGCAGTATGTCAGCACATTACAACATACACCTACCTCTGATTCCACTATCACAAATCCATATGAGATCATATTTGGCAACTTCATAGCCAGGCATTAAGTTGTTAATCTTGGGGTTAATGCCAACCTTCTTGCCACCTAAAACGTACAAACATCATACACAAGCAACATTTTTTTTTAGAATTCAGTATATCTAACTATTTTGGGTATTGAGTCTAACTGAAGAGCAGTAAATGTTTACCCATTAATTCTTAAAGCCCACTTTTATGAAAATGATTTAAATTTTAACTACTTCTTCATGTCTATATTTTAGATCTTACTACAATTATACAGAGGATTAAAAAGGAAAAAATATTCATACGTGTCCTCAAAATGGCAGGGTAACAAGGTTACTACAAAGTTTATTACTACATTCTGTAAGGTAAATATTCTCTACCTCTTATTTCTTAAGACTACTCATTATGACCATTATACTCTACAGTAATTTTAGCAGAAAAATTAAAAAGAAGCATAATGAAGTGAGACACCCTCTTCTGCTTCCAACTGACAGACATAATCCAGTTTATTTCATGTCAGAGAAAAAAGTTACATTCTACTACCTAGTTTTAATATCCCTTCCCTCCTCTAATTCAAATGTAAAGTGAAGAAAGAGCCCTACAGTCTAAGCTGATGAAAAACTGTTGCAGGACCTCAAGCTCAAATACAGCCACAAGTCCAAGTCACTTCCTGCATATTTAGTTCAGTGCAAAGACAGAATTTAAACTGCTGTTTCAGATATAGAAGGAAAAAATTGTGGGGGTTGTATAAATCATTTTTCCCAGAATTTTTTTGGACATGTCGCAGATTGTGACTACAAACTTAATTCTTTACCCCAAACTGATGATTAAGCTACAGAACCAATATGGGCTGAACAAGATGACTATTTATTTTAGAATACTGTATATGGAGTTGAAGACATAAAAAACATTTTACAAATAAATGTCCCACCTTCAAGTTGCACTGCTTACCTATGAACAGTCTAGCATCAACATTTGGGTATTTGCCAAGGAGCTTTTTGCACACATCAATAGCTGGATCATCATGATCTTGTACACAGAGTAGTACTTCATACTAGTAAAACAAGAAGTATACACATGTGTAGATTTATACACACACTTAATATCAGAGTGGCCTAGGGAATAAAGCTTTATTTTTTCAGTTTGTTACACTATTAAAAGAACTGTTATAGAATTAAAAATAAAACCAAAGGTGTTGTTTCACAGCTAAATAAGACTACTTTTAACATACAACCAAGTTCTTGTGAAAAAAGAACCAAGCCTGTACGCCAATAAACTTGTACTGAGGAATGTTAGTTTTCTGTCATTGGAAAGATTTCTATTAGGCTTAATGCAAGACATCTATACAAGACCAAATCTTTATTTCCACTTCCATTTTTGTTCACATGGATCTTATTCTTATATTCAATGAAATTACAGCAAATATTAAAGGAATGATGTTACATTCCTTTACATATATTTCCTATACACTTGACTGCATATCTCTGAACTACACCTTTTTCCTTTACTTTGCAGATGCATATGCAGAACCGAGTTGAAAAACAACCCAGAGACTTTACACTTAATTGTGTAATAGAGCTAAGATCAGGAACTGGTATATACATATGTAATGTATATGTATTTTTCTCATTAGTAGAATAATGGTTAAAGAATCAACAAGAGGTAAACTGTAACCGTTTCAGCAATCATGCTACATACTTGTTACATATGAGCTATAGACAGTGGGTGACAAAAGCATTTTAAGAACCAGTCAGTATTTTGAGATAGCTTTGCAAGCTTTGATGGAGGTATTTGTTGCCTCCTTACTCGATATAACCTTCCTCTCTCCCTGTTGTAATAGTTTAGTAATAAACAAGTTATTAGACCTCTAATCCAAAAGAATAAAATTCAGAAAATGCAAATTTCTGATCAAGATACCTAGAAGCCATTTTTACATTTATACATTTGATATAGCAGTTGTAAATAAGAGTCCTTTATACTATTCTGTTGCATGACTGAACTTCATTTTCAGTAAACTGCTTAAGCAAAAACTAAACTGAACTTCAAAAACTGCCTGGGGGCTCAGTGATGAGAATCTCTGATGTTCTTGTTCAGTAAGAAGTAATGCCTTCTGTTGTATGAATGAAGGTATAAATATATTCTTTCAAGAAAAAGTGGTACTGTTAAACACAAAAAACCCCAGTGACTAACTACATTTAGAATACTGTGGAAACAAAATCATTAATCACTAAATGGCAGTTAGTAAGACATGGTCTAGCACTACAAATTATCAAACACGTCTCTGCCTCTCAGAATGCAAACTCAAAGCCAAATTGCCTAAAGAATGAGCAGCATTTGATTCCTATCATTTTACCAGCATAGAAAATAGAATTTAAAGGGTAAAAAACCTGTCTCATTAAGCAGACAGGTCCTTCCATCACAACAGAACGATCCTGACAGCATGAACACCATAGAAATTACCAGCTGAAGAAATTAGTTCTTTATTGCTCATCCAAGTAAATATGTAAAAGAAAAACTATTTTTGCTAGTAATTAAATAACTAATCTTCAATCCAGCTGCGGTGACACTTCTATAACCATATTCTCCAAGAAATTAAACCAGAAGTAAAGAACTTTGACATGATAATATTTGAAAACTGAAAAAGTCACAGTAAATGGCCTATGTATGCTGCAACAAAGTAAAGAACTACAAAACATATGACTCCAGCAGAAGAAATACGAAGCTGCTTATCTACATAAGCGTTACAATCAGGTTCGTCTGGACATAACATGAATAGAAAGATTTCTGCCAAAATTTTGATATGCACAGTAGGTAAGAACTGTTCACTAAAAAATACTACATGTAAATCCTGCAGTTTAGAAGCTGCTTAACTAGCTTCTACGCAAGACAAGACTATTTCACACATAAGGTATCACAGAAGAGTATCAGAGTATCAGTATCACTGCAGGCTGAACTCAGCTTCACTGGAACAAGTTTTAAATTATTCTTTCCTAATGCTTTTTCCCTGGACAGCTGAACTTTAAAAGCAGGCAATGCTGTATTCTATTTTTTGTTGTCTAATGTCAATCTCGAAGTATTTTTGTAGTTATTGTACAGAAGTATTTTCAAACAGTTTGGGGATCTTGCTTGTACTGCATAGTATATGCCCCAGTAAACTGAAGTATTCATACCTCCATTTTCACTCTCCTTGGGACAAACATGATTGTCACCATTGTTACCTGAACTTCAGATTTGTGTTGAGTAGCAATATTTTAAGATGGCCACCCATATGTGTAAGTTACCAGAAGGGTCAAAACTCTCTCTAATATAGCAAGATGCAGCATAACTTCTTCTGAATTGCCAACTAAATTGCATTTGTAGTCAAATGTTTCAGCTGCATGATGTTTTGATGCTCATTATAGTCATAAAATACCATCAGACATTGTAGCAGCTTCTTTGCACTGTTTGCAGTATTGGCATACACAGCACACCTCAAGTATGCTTTAAGCTTATCTTGGCCACACTTAATCTTTATTGCACTTTTGTTGAGTTGAAAGGATTCAAATGTTCATGCCTGAAGCTTTTCAAAAGGCCTCAAGCTTCATTACAGAAAAACTACACAACCTTTAATCATTGCCAAATGGTGGGGTTTTGTTGTTTGTTTTATTCTGCCTACTTAGGAATAAGTTTAAAGCTCTTGGTCAGAATACACAAAGGAAACTTGCTGTACAGCTTACACATACCTTTGACCTTTTACAACTTAAGCAGCAGTGTCAGAAGCAGTTTTGAGAAGAATTGAGAAGAGAGGTTTTAAAAAAGTGAATTACAAGTTTTAGAATTCAGGAGATAAGCAATAGAAAACATAGTCCTTTTTCCACCCAGAGAAGCATACATCACGTACTAAATGATGCAGCAAGCATTTACAGATTTCTCCTTGAAGTTGTAAGCTATTTAGAGCAAGGACAGCACCTGAGACACTTATCATTTATATTACTTATATTACAAAGACAAACAGCGTTCAACAGCAAATGTAAGCTTTTATTAGCTATTTGTTTCCCAACACCAGTAAGTGGCTTGCAGACTATCCTTCCTACCAACAACTGGTGAGATACACTACCTCATCATTCATCAATTCTTCATTAGAAGATCCATCAGTAAGGACCGCCAGAAAGTTTCACAGGCTATCAGGTAAATGTTCTCTTTTAGAGAATCTGTTACAGAGTAGTAGTTAATTGGGGAGAGTGTCTGGGCTCTCATAGGATCTTTTATAAATTGAAGGGTTTCATACTGGTATAAACATCACAGTACAGGAATAACGATTAAACATTTATCCCTAAGCCTTGGTCATGTTCCTTTATAGACAGCTTTTTTAAGAAGAGTAAGCTTTGAAACATGTAAAATGTGTAATTATGCATTTGCTCTGGAAGGAAGAACAATCCAAGGCATAATCAAGTTGCATTGTTCTAGTCCCAGCTCCTGATGGCACTTTTGGAGGCATGGGAGGAGGAAAAAAAAAGAGACACCAAATAGTATACATACTTTTGGATAATCCAGTTCAAAGAAGGTTTCCAAGTTGTTGATCAAGTTAGGGTCCACACCTTTTAATGGCTTTAGAAGTGAAACACCAGGAAGCTTGCTATATGGCTGTTTGTCTGTGGTTTTCTTATTGAGGTGCAGGCGTCTGTAAGGAGAAATAACATACACCACCACATAAAGAATATATGCTAGAGAATTTAATTCAACATACAGTCAGAACTAAGAAAGCTTGGGAGTTAAAATTTCCACAAAAAATTTAGTTTTGGTTGTAGAAACAGCTATTTTTATATCTGACAGTTGATGTGTCTAAAAATGCCTAAAAAACCTTAGCATTGTATGTAGCTTAAAATCAACCTTATTCAAGTTATTAGACATTTCAGATTAATGCACTTTTCACTATGCATTTTGAACTCTAAGAGTGTAACTTACCAAACGGCATATGATCCAAGATTTTTCTGCCTTCCTCCACAGCATTAAACTCATAGTATTATAACAGGATAATCATAACAACCAATTGAGTGTTAACAAGGCAAGAAAAGGGTCAGGTGCTTTTTTCCTGCATTAAGTTATGCAAAACATAATTTTATTGTATACACACAGGAGCGAATGCAAAATTAACTTCTGAAAGCTTGATGGGCCAGTGTACAATAAAATTTGCATCTATATAAGTAACTGGAGAAAAAGTATCTGCTGAAACTTAAAATTTGCAAATTAGTGTATATACTGCATACTGTAGTTTTCCAACACGCACAGTAGTAAGACTGAAAGAATATTTTATTGCAGCATGTACCTAATGGTATAAATTCTTAACTTAAACTTTCACATTTTAAAATTCACAAGATGCTGCCTCAAAAAAAAAAGGGAATAGGGTTGCTCCATACAGTGCTTCACTCTGGCTAAATGGTAAAAAAAAAGTCAAGTTACTAGGAAGCATGCCCCTGAAGAATGTATCTGACCAAGTGAAATTACTGAACTACAAACGAGCTCCACTAAGAGCAGGAGAGATTTCAGTAGTTTCTATAGCTATTCTGTCCTGAAATGGGACAGTGACATCACATTTGTTACCTGATCAGCCCCACCCCCTTCCCAGCATGCTCCTTTCAGGCCCTGTTTCAGCTGGACACCGCAGGCATAATGCTGTTAGAAAATAAACAGTGGGCTCACTAAAAAGACAGAAGGACAAAGCGAATTATGTCCTTGTACTGTTACTGAGTCCAAGCCTAGGCACTGCAGAGGTAAACTGGAATAGTCTTGCTGAGCAATTAACAGCCAAGGGACAGTCAGATCAAAGTAAGAAAAAAAAAGCAATAGTTCAGATAGCTACCACAAAGAAAGATTTTCTTGCCAATTTTCACAAACGTAAGAGCAAACCAGGGCTTTAGTGCCAATAAGAAGGGACAGTCTCAAGAATGCAACTTTGACCAAGAGGAACAAAAGGTAGGTAATGCAAGGTGGGGGAGGGGAGGAAGTACTCCATTTAAAACAGACTGTAGCAATGCACATAGCTTTGTACAGAGGCAAAAGCCTTAATGAACAGGAAATAAGAGAAGGAAGCGGCAGAGTGAATGGAAAAAGGAGAGAAAGGACAAAAACAGACTTGAGGCAGGACTGTGATAAAGAATAAGCACCAAGTGCTAAAACGGCAGAATCTTGCGAGGCATCATATTACAAACCATGCTGACACATAGGATTACGCGGGTGATTGAATTACATGAGGAAAAGCCTACACATGGTGTAAGAAGGAAACCTTGGAAAACACGCAGATGAGGCATGCAGCATTATCAGGATCTATTCAGCTGTGAAACACCGTACACTGAGACTTTTGACACAGTATGGCTCAGTATGGTAAGACTGTCTCTGACATGCTATCTTAGAAATAAGACTCCAGTTCATGTTCTATTCATAATGCTGCACAAAAGTGGCAGCCTGCCATCCTGAAAGCACTGTGATATTGTGACACTAAGGTAAAGCAATTTCCATGCCAGTAATTACAATGCTTTGTTAGACTATAAAGCAAGAGGCAAATTAACAGTAAACCAGATGATTTTACACTGAAAAGGGCTATTTGTGAAGTGGCATAATGTGAAAAATAAATTAAAAGTTACAATTGAAAACCTACCATGACCAGAGAAACAGACCAACCACTATAAAAAACAAGTTACAATATTCAAGTTAAGGCTAACATTCATCATGGAAGTCAAAATAGACTAAATTTAAACAACATTATCATTGTTGATACACATATGTTCTAAATGAAGTTCTGTGTTACAGAACATGCATCAAACTCTCCGAAGCAGAAGTAAGATGAAGCAGTAAGTTGGTATTTTTGAGAACTAACTTGTACTTATGGTGGTTCAGTTCTCAGATAGATGTTGTGATCAGTGGTTTTCATTACCATGGAGCATTTATGACATGTACAGTTCAAAATGATAAAGGAAAGCAATCCTTTCACAAAGTTTGTATCACAGACTAAGTATTACTCTGCATTGAAATTAGCCCAAAGCAGTCAAAAACACTAACTACATAGATGTACTTGCTTAATGCATTTTTTCTACCTCTGCAGTAAGCTGCAGAAAAACAGCACACCAAGGAATGTATAACAACTTTGGTCTGTGAAACAGATGCTGGCAGAGCACTAAAGGCACTTTCAGATCCTGTGTGTGAGAGACCAGTAACCAGGTTATCTATAAGCACTTTTGCACCTACATCTATTAAAGGGATCAGCCTGCAATCCCTAGGTAGTGAAACTGTGAAATTCCTTCTAAGCAGTCTCATGCTCATTTACCTAGGTGGGGAAAGAAAAAAAAAAAAAACAGCAGCAGGATGCATAACTGTCAGGAGCTACAGTTCAACTAGTTGTCTCCTGCTTCTCCTTGTAAAAAGCATCTGCAAAATTATCTCAAACTTAGCTTCTTAGCACAACAATTAACCCACAGAAGCAACTGTAATCTAGATTTCTTCACTCAGCAGAAGAAAAAAATAAGTGTTTCCAAAGACAAAACCCAGGCTACTGAGTTAGCACTACACAGTGTACTACATGATTAATTCTTGCTAATATGTATCAAATTAAGCAACAAAACTTTTTTTAAAGGCCTAGATTACTCTTCCTGCCCCTACTTCACTAAGGTCAGGAGAGCATTCTAGCAAAACCAAAAATATTGCTATAGTACAGAGACTGCTGGGTCTCTCAGATGCACTAGTAACAAGCCTTTTTAAAAGCAGCTGAAAAAACCTAAACACTCTTTATTCACTCATTTCAACCTTCCCTCAGCAGCTACTTAAAGAATTGCCCTATAGAATCATAAACTCTCTGGGCTGGAAGGGACCTTCAAAGGCCATCTAGTCCAACAACCCTGCAATGAGCAGGGACATCTTCAACCAGATCAGGTTGCTCAGAGCCCTGTCCAACCTGACCTGGGATGTTGCCAGGGATGGGGCATCTGCGACCTCTCTGAGCAACCTGGGCCACTGTCTCACCACCCTCAGTGTGAAAAGAATTTCTTCCTTCCATCTAGTCTGAATCTGCCCTCTTAGTTTAAAGCCATTAACCCTTGTCCTATCACTACAGGCCCTGCTAAAAAGTCTGTCCCCACCTTTCTTAGAAACTCCCTCTAAGTACTGGCAGGCTGCAATAAGATGTCCCCAGAGCCTTCTCCAGGCTGAACAACTCCAACTCTCTCAGCCTGTCCTCACAGCAGAGCTGTTCCATCCCTCCCATCATTTTGGTGGCCACCTCTGGACCTGCTCCAACAGGTCCATGTCTTTCCTGTGCTCAGGGCTCCAGAGTTGGACACAGCCCTGCAGGTGGGGTCTCACCAGAGCGGAGTAGAGGGGCAGAATCCCCTCCCTCGACCTGCTGGCCACGCTGCTTTGGATGCAGCCCAGATGACTGTTGGCTGCCTGGGCTGTGAGTGCACATTGCTGGCTCATGTCCAGCTTTTCATCCACCACTACCCCTAAGTCCTTCTCCTCAAGGTTGCTCTCAGTCCCTTCCTCCCCCAGCTTGTATGGATACCAGGGGTTGCCCTGACTCAGGTGGAGGACCCTGCACTTGACCTTGTTGAACCTTATGAGGTTCACATGGGCTCAATGCCTCAAGCTTGTCCAGGTCCCTCTGGATGGCATCCCATTCTCAGGCGTGTCAACTGCACCACTCAGCTTGATGTCACCTGCAAACTTGCTGAGGGTGCACTCAACTCCCACTATTAGGGAGAGGCAAGTAATTCTTGATCAGAAATTTCTAACAGATACTTAAATATTGCAAGACAGCACTAAAAAGATGCAGGAAGACATCCCTTGAAGGCTCTGATTCCACAGGCCATCAAAGCTAGCTAGCAGATCATTACTTCTGAGAGGGGCTGTTTTCCTGCTTCTACTTCTGAATTTACACTCTCCCCTTCCCCAGTTCATTTCCATGTTAGTGAGCTGAACCATCTCACAGAGGTGTCTGTGGAGTGTTGGTCTCCTATGGAGTAGCAGACAGGAGTTCTCAGCTTGAACAAGAGAAATAAAAAGACAAGATTATCATGCTTCTTTTGGCAACAGAAAGGTGAAAAGGATGAGCTCCCCATATCTTCCTTACTTTTTGTACATGTCTTGTGTTAAAACATTTCCAAAAGTAGGTACCTTTATGCACAGAAGAAAAAATGAAATTTGCTGTAGTTATACCACATTGGTTAGTGCATTAAATACAACCGAAAGACTGGAGGAGTTCAGAAAGTATTAGACAACCCCTAAATTCATGAAAGGTTTAACAGCACCCTTGCTTCACAAAGGCTAGTATTAGCCCATTTAAAATCCTGCCGCATTAATGTAATAAAGACAATTCTACATAGATAAGGCATAGATAACTACCAAATAAGTTTCAGTATCTCACAGCAGTAACTTATTATACAGTCATCTGACCATTTTATAATTAAGTAACCAAGAACAGTTGTTATATAGAGATTGTACTTTTATATATAATATATATAATAAATATATATATGCCT